AAAAGTTTTTAATTAAAAAGTTAAAAAGAAAACTTAATTAAAAATTATTAGTTAAGGATTAAAAAACCCCAACACTTTACGAATTCTATACATACAAATCAATCTATTTTTGTTGCTATAAACTACCTTAAATGTATTGTATATAAAAGTACAGTAATTAAATATGTATACAAAACAAAAATACAAAAAAAAAAATTTAAATATATCTAAAAAATTGCAAGCAGTAGTTTATTATACAACAAATTTAATATGAAATAAAACTAACTACTTTAGAAAACAAATTAAGAAAAATTGAAAAAAATAAGTAAAAAAAACAACATCAATAATATTTTACGTTTACTAACTACAATGAATGCTGATGTTAGTGTTCTATAAACCAAAATACGACGAAACCAACAAAATGATATTCCAATGAACTATAGTTCATACACAAATGCATACAAACACATATAGTATATACATATACATACATACATACATATTTTATGATAATATCTACTTAAAGTAATATTCAATATAATAAAACAGTGCTATACTATGTAAATGAYACACACACACATATTTGCAGTTAACTTCAATCGTTACAATAAAGATATAAACAAATTAATTTGTAAAAAAAATATATTTCACTTGGCAACACTTTATGGTTTTAGCCAGGCAAATAAAAAAATATGCAAAAAATAGTTTGCATTACATCGTTATGTTGTGAGTGTAGAGCTTTTGGAAATTGCAACTGATGCTAAAGTTTTACATTTTGAAACCCCTGTAAACACGGCTGTAAGGAACTAAGAACCGATTAAAAAAATGTGTTAACCGTATTGCAAGAAGATTCAAAAAACAAAAAAAAAAAAAAGTTGGAAACCATGCAGTTAGCCAATAAATTATTTAAATTTTGATTTTAAAACCTAAAGCAAACTGTAAAAGCGCTAATAATGCAAGCGTCCAAGGAAAGTAAAGACACTATCATATTTTAATAACGGTGAACTGTTATTACACGAACATACTTGTAAAAAAACACTACTACAGTTGATTTCCAGTATCGTATTAATAGTTCTCAAAGAAAAAAAAATATGTAATAATAATAAATAAAAATAATTTATCCAATTCCTAAACAGTACTAAGGGTGTAAACACATTCAAGCAAACACAATATTTTATATTTTAAATAGATAGCCTAAAAAATAAACAAATAGTAGACCTTGAGTGAACCTGGGGCAATATATTCATGTATATTAGCATATAAAAATTACTATAGTTTCTTGAAACATCTTAAAAATGTTTTTCAGTGAACAAATTTTCAGAAAACCAAAAAAAAAAATGTTAAACGCATAGCGCACGTCCAATGGGTGCGGAAAATTGTACATAACTACAGTACAGTCTTAGGAAAATACTTAATAGTAGTTACTTGAATTGCTGAACATATTTCATTCTTTTATATTTTTAACATGTATCCGTATAATTTGATTTTATTAATTAATTTTTTTTTTTAATTTTTGTTCTTAGTTTTTATTATACAT